CCCCCCCCCCCCCCCCCAAATTTGGGCTTGGTGACATCACAGCTGGTTGCCATGGGAATTTGGCACCAGATTTCCCCCCCTCTTCCCCCCCCGTGGGGCTGGCTGGGACCTCGGGGGTCACTTCTTGGAGGCCCTGAGGAGCCAACCCCGGGTGTTTCCCGAGTCCTTCCCTGGAGGCCTGACGGCCCGGGGTCGCCGGGCGATCTCTGTGCGAAAAGCGAAGCAACAATTCGGTCCGGGGCCGCGGGGCTGGGGGGCTCCAGGGGCCGCATCCAGTCCAGCCCCGGCCTGAGGCAGGAGCGGCCCCGTCCAAACCCGGCGTCGAACCTCTGAGCAGCACGACCCCCGCACCGGGCATCGCCTCCGGGATACAGGGGGGCCGTGGTGGCAGCGTCCTGCTGCTGCCGGGGGTCGCGGGCGCTGCAGAGACCCAGGCCCGGGCCGTGCCCCGCTGCAGAGGAAGGCAAACCCCCCCAGTGCAACCAGTGTGAGCAGGGGGGAAACCCCTTCCTGCCCCAGCACAGCGCGGGGGCCAGACCCCCCCGCCGGGACCCTGCGGGCTGGTGCCAGGAGCATTGGCACAGCCCAGCCCCCACCCCAACCCCCAACACATGGAGGGGGAGGGGGAGGGGGAGGGGGCCCCCCACACCGCCCAGGAGCCCGGGACACCCCATGGCAGAGCACGAGCATCGCGGCACCCCGACCAGGGACCGTCCACCGCCCCTCGAGCCCCCGGGGACGGGGAGTCCCCTGCTTCCCCAGCCGTCCCCCCGCGGCCTCCCTGCTCCAACGCCGAGGAAGTTTTTCCCGAGACCCAATTTAAACCGGCTCTGCTGCAACTTCGAGCCCTTCCCGGAGACGATCGTAACGAATCCTGAATCTTGCCTGATTCTTTCCTGAATCATGGAAAATTCAGCTGGGAAGGGACCCGGGGGGGGGGTCACATCTAGTCCAAGCCCTGCTCCCAGCAGGACCAGCCCCAGCGACATCATCCCAGCCAGGGCTTTGTCCCCCCGGGGTCTGGTTCAGGTGCATCCTTGTTGGATGCCCCGTCCGTCTCCTTTTGGAGGAGCGAGGGCCCGAGCCGGGGCCGTGTTCGAGGTGTGGACGCACCGGGGGTCTATAAAGGGGTGTCGGGATACTGGATAATGTGCAAAGTGCCGGGGCAGGGGGGTTACGAAAGGGGCATCAGGATACAGTGTGGGGGCATGGGGGAGTGGGTTATTAGTGTAAATGCCATGACGGTAGAGAACAAGGAGCAATGGGCTCAGGCTGCAGCAAGGGAAGTTGAGGCTGGAGATCAGGAAAAACTCTCGCTCGGAGGGGGGTGAAGCGCTGGAGCAGGCTCCCCAGAGCGGTGGCGCAGTCTCCGTCCTCGGAGGTGTTGAAGCCCCGGGTAGACAAAGCCCTGGCTGGGATGATGGAGCTGGGGCTGGTCCTGCTGGGAGCAGGGCTCGGACGAGATGCGACTCCCGAGGCCCTTCCCGCCCCCCTTGTCGCTGGCTCTCTGCGACAGGCTCTACCTGAGCTCGAGGCATCGCGCGGAGGTGCCCCGGCCTCTCCCCGCGGTCCTGCCCAGCTCTGCATCCTGCCGCGGGCTGTGCAGCATCAGAAGCTAAAATACGGGGGTGCATTCCCCATTTGAAAGCACTTGTGCTGTATTTTGTCACCTACAACATGCCCCCCCCCCAGCTAATGGACATTTGAGGTGCACATTGTAAGTGGAGAAATACGGTAATCCCAGTGGCTGTCTGGGGGGAGCGGGGCAGTGAATGTCACTGTGTTCACTTGAATTCAAGACCACCCTGAATATAAGATGCCCCTCCCCCAAAGACTTTGATTCTAGGCGTGGGAAATGTATGCATTTATTATCATTTTCCATCCCTAGACTCTAATTATTGGAGGGGGGACTTAAATTGGTCCCCCCCATCACTGCGGGGGGGGAGGGGGAGGTGGGATGTGAAGCCCAGTAGCTTGCCGTCGACTGCCTGGCCCCCCCCCCCCCCCCAAATCCCAGAAGAGGGCTTTCTCTCCCCCGTGTTAAAGGGGGGCACTCGTGTTGTAATCAAGTAAATACGGTAGTCATTCGCTACAGGAAAGCTGCGGGGTCAGGTCTTCCCCCGGGGAAAGGGGACCGCCCGGCCGGGACTCGTGGGGACGCTGCCTGCCTCGCTGCCCCCCTGTCCCGGACGGCTCCTCGCCTGGATTGGGGCGAGACTCCCTGCCCTGCGTCACGGGCTGGGGGGGAAACTGAGGCACGGGGCAGGGGAAGGCAGCGGCAGAGTCCCTCGGATGTGCTGGATCCCAGCCTAGCGCCCCGGCTGGTTCCCTGCTGTCCCGCTGACCCCTCTCCCCCCGCAGGAGGCTTGGCCCCTCTCCGGAGACCGCCCGGCGCCTGCTCTGAGGTTGCCCGCGCTGGGCTGAGCCGGGGCGAAGATGGCCGCCCCGTTCGGTAACGAGGTGAAGTGCGTCAGCGTGGAGTGGGACTTCCTGCAGGGGCTCCTGGTCAAGAACCAGCCCGTGCCCTGGTAAGACCGGGAGGGAAACTGAGGCACGGGGCGGAGGGGGCGGGGGTCCTGCTGGCCGCTCGTGGAGGCCCGGCTACCACAGGGCCCCGGCGTCCTGGCCTCTGCTTCTGCCCGTTCAGTGACCCCCCCAGAGCCGTGACGCTGCCTCAGTTTCCCCACCACCACACGGTGATTTCCTGCCTTTCAGCGTGTGCGGGGGGGTGACATTGTGCCCCCGTGCAGCGCCAGGCTCTACCCACTGCCCCGTGCTTCCTTCCTGGGGAGGGGGAGCGGATCAATCCGCTCTCTGCCTACACACGGCATTTTAGGGGTTAAACCCCAGGTTTTTGTAGAGGGGAGCAGGTTTGGGGGTAGGTGGGGCTTCTTCACTGCTGTCACAATGAGTGACAGAGGAAACCCCGCCCCCTTTGCTGCGGGATTGGCCACGGTGAGGTTGGGGCGGGCTTCAGGGTGGCCAACAATGGGGGGGTGGGCACGACTTAGGGGGCGGGCATGACCGGGACAGCCGGTAGGGGGCGCCAGCTGCCCCATAGCCCCTCTCACCCAGTCTCCTCCCGCTGCCCCCC